TAAGACTATATTATGCTAAAATAATCATTTTTAACTCAGTGGACATTTTTTCGTAGAGCAACCAGACATCTGTGTTACGTAATCAGAGGGGGAGGGTGTCGGTCAATGGTTACGCTTGCTTATTCTAAGGCCAGGTTGTGACAAAATTGCTAAAGAAAAGTAGGATGCCGTGACCCGTGAACGTCTTTTTGATGTTTTGTAGTTTTTGAAGGAGCAGTAACTAAGCTTATCAAACCCAACACACCACAAGATACGCCGAAACATTCTACAGCTCTTACTACAAGAAAGGAATTTTTGAACTTAATCTAGGTGGGTAAAATTGATTTTTACACGTTTCCGATTGTGTAGTTGCGCAAGTGATATTTTTGTGGCATCCATTACTTTTAATGCTACAAAAGAACGGTACATGCTTATTTAAAAAAGAACATATCAATAAAATCTACACAAAATTCTCTATCTTTTAGCATCAGAACCCAACCTTCTGATCAAGTCTAATTTGAGAAAAAAGCCTATCAAAAACCGGCAATTTAATCTGCCGTACCCGTTATTTTTACGTTTTTCTAAATCATTTCTTGGATTTCTTAATATATCAATATTTGTATAAGTTTTTTCAATTAATTTTATTAAATTTCGTGCATGTTCATTTGTTTTTCCAGCATTTTTAACTTTATCAATAATATTTTTTGAAATTTCATGTCCATTTTTATATTCAATAAATATTAAATCAAAAATATCATTACCAAACATTTTGTGATTATTAATTAAGTCTTCAATATTGAGAATATCATCCAATTTCATATATTTATCTTTAATCAACGATTTACTAATATGAATTATGTTCATTTGACTATTTTTATTCGATGATGTTTTTATATATTGACGAAATTTGTCAATAAAAAAATTTGGTAATTTTTGTATTTCTTGTTTAATAATTCCTTTTATTATTTCATTTGTTTCATTTGGGACCATTCAAAGTACTCGTAGATTAAGTTTTTTAGCCATTTTGACACTCTATCCTCCCTAGAATAAGCAAGCGTAACCATTGACCGACACCCTCCCCCTCTGATTACGTAACACAGATGTCTGGTTGCTCTACGAAAAAATGTCCACTGAGTTAAAAATGATTATTTTAGCATAATATAGTCTTA